CTACTTACAAAGAAATAATACTTACAAAGAAGGAATAGCTTTCACTTGCCAGTGACCGCTGGGAGGAGGTGTGCTCTGTCCATCTGAGCTACTAAAATGGGCTCCGTTACTGTAGTATCTGAGTGCCTCACAAGCCTTTTAATAGATTTATCCTCCCAGCATCCAGGGCCAGATTAACGTATAGGCAACCTAGGCATGCTCCTAGGTTCCAGTTTGGTGGTGGTGGAGGGCAACCTGAGTGGTACTGTGGCCTTGTGCACCCCGATTGCAATACCACTCACTCAAATTTGGTCCTGCCACCTTCCATCATTGTGGATGGGCAGCAAGGCCAAAACAGAGTGGGGCTGTGACCCTCTGTGCCAGGTTGCAATGGCACTCACTTAAATTTGGCCTGGCCAGGCCACCTCCTCCTCCCTGTCATGAAAGAGAGGCACCAGGGCCAAATCTGAGTGGGCAGTGGAACGGCCAGTACTGCTCCTCTTTGCTGCTGCTCCACTTCCAGCAGCCTATGTTGCCTCTGCTCTGCCCAGAAGATTCAGTGACAACCTCAAGTCCATCTACAAGTAGGGGAAGCTGCAGTCAGTGCCCATATAGGGGGACTTGTTGAGAGAGAGGTGGCTGGGGGTGAACATCGGAGAGTTTTGCCTAGGACCCAGTAATGAGGAATTGAGGCAGAGACAGATTAAGGCCCAAGTCTTCAAAGATATTTAGGACCCTAATTTCCATTCCAGTAGGAGCCTACATTTCTTTGTGGCTTTAGGCCAAAACACCGTGTCCAAGAGCACACAGGAAGTCTGGTATAATTTGGTGATTACCAAAGTCCAACAGAAGAGAAGTCAGTTGTGTAATGAGAGGTAAAATAGTTGAGTCAGAGGTTGTTGGCGTTTTTTGGGAGGGTGGGTCTAATCCTGCTCCACTGAAGTCAATGGAAACGTTGCTCTGGGAGAATAATTTTTATTATTCTAGAAAATTTAATTCTCTTTGCCTCGCGACCCTTTAGGGTTTGTTCTGCTGCTCTCTCATCTCTGGTCTTATTTTTGTTATTTTTAAACACACTGTCTTTATACAATGGGATGTAATCCTTGAAGTGAAAGAAAACACCGGCTGTGAAATACGTTGGCTTTCCAACAGTCCTGCAGTCAACACATGCATTCCATTATTTAATTGATTGCAGATAACCTTTGGAAACTTGGATCACACCACCAGCTAGCAGCCAATTTCCACTGAAATCCAAAACATGTTTAAGGAGTGAAGTAATCTAAAAAAAATGGCTTTTTATTAATACTCTGCCAGACATGGCTGTTGTTCAAAAGGGAAACCACAGGGGTTAATCCAAACAGTTGAGCAGTTATTGTCAACAGAGGCTTGGCAGAGTAAATACCATTGTAATCTGGTTTTTGTGTTTGCAGAAAGAGGTGTTTATGTGTTTGTGTGGGAGATTTTTCTCTCCTCTTGTGAAATTATTGCACTATCCTTTCCAGATTTGCAAATAACTTAAAGGAACTGGTCTATTTTTAATTAAATATCTTGAAAAGAGGAAAAAATCTTGAGAGTGTTAATTGTCAGTGGAGCTGTTTTATTATAAGCAGGTCTGATAGCGCCACCTCTTATTAAGGTGGCATGACACTTCCCATTATAAGACCCTGTTTTCAGTTTACAACTTTGCCAATATTTTTCTAAAAACAATACACTCTGGTTCCACCACAGGTGACTATGCTTGATACAGGGATCACAGAGGAAAATTCTCTGGCTTGTGCTATGTAGAAGATCAGACCAGATGATGATAATGGTCCCAACTGGCCTTAGATCAGTTGTGGGCAACTTGCAGCCCGTGGGCCACATGTGGCCCATCAGGGTAATTTGACTGCTAGCCGCGAGATATTTTGTTGATGTTGACCACTCGCAGGCATGGCCCCCGGAGCTCCCAGTGGCCGAGGTTTGCTGTTTCTGGCCCATGGGAGCTGCGGGGGGCCATGCCTGCGAGTGGTCAACATCAACAAAATATCTCGCGGCTAGCAGTCAAATTACCCTGATGGGCCCTGTGATCCCTGTATCAAGCATAGTCACCTGTGGTGGAACCAGAGTGTATTGTTTTTAGAAAAATATTGGCAAAGTTGTAAACTGAAAACAGGGTCTTATAATGGGAAGTGTCATGCCACCTTAATAAGAGGTGGCGCTATCAGACCTGCTTATAATAAAACAGCTCCACTGACAATTAACACTCTCAAG